CGCGCGCCTCGGCCCGGGGTCCTGTCCCAGCGCAGGGGCCGGCGACCGCGGTCGGGCGGGCGCCGCGCGGAGACAGAGCGGGCGTGTTCAATGGAAGTATGCTACCAGCTGCCGGTGCTGCCCCTGGACAGGCCGGTCCCCCAGCACGTCCTCAGCCGCCGAGGGGCCATCAGCTTCAGCTCCAGCTCGGCGCTCTTCGGCTGCCCGCATCCCCGGCAGCTCTCGCAGGTAACAGCCGCCCCGGGGCCCGCGCTGGGGGCTCCTCGCTTTGTTCCCCTCAGCACACCTCGAAGACACGGCTCGGGCCATTGTTCGGGGCTTTCCCTCCGTTCCGGAGCCTTTGCATCTGCGGCTGTCCTCCCTGCCTCAGCCCCGGCCTCCGCAGACCCCCGCCCAGGGGCCAGCCCTCCTCGCCGTTCCAGGCTGCCGCGCGCCACCCAGCGCTTTAAAGCCCCAGGAGTGACTGTGCCCCGCGACTTCCTTCGCGTGCCCTTCTGTAGGTTGGGCCCCCAGTCGCTTAGCGGTGACCTGGGGCACACCTGTTCGCTCCTACCCCTCCCCCCCGACACCTGTGCGGAGTTCGCGTCTCTCCCGCGCGCCGCACAGCGCTGGGCTGGTCCTGCGCTGCTCAGAACAATAGGCCTAGATGTCCCATTGTGGTCCTCTCCCGCACTGCTTCCTTTATGCGGATGGGCCTTAGGTGATGTCAGAAGAACTAGGGTGCAAAGTTGATGACTTCCAGTCAGTTTTGTTTCTCATTTGATAAGGAGTTTTTAGGAGAGAAAGCGCTGCGGAGTATTCACAGGAGGATTTTGTTTCCCATGGCCCAGTACCAGTTGTTCCTGAGCATTTTTTTTTTTTTTTTTTCCTTCGGATGATGCCCTTGGCCCAACTGTGTAGCTCTGGCGAACTTTGCTAGATTTAGAGTAAGGGGAAAAAAAGAATTTTACTTTGTTTATATAAGAACCGAGTGCCTGCTGCCGGAGTTATGTGTTCCTGAGATCACTTTTGGAATGGGTGCTGGGGGAGCATACCTATGGCCTCACACTAGCTAGGCAAGAGCTCCGACCATTGAGCCTCAACTCTTATTTATTTATTTATTTATTTACTTACTTACTTATTTACTTATTTGGAAAGGGTCTCATTAAATTGTCCAGTCTGGCCTTAAGCTCACGGTTCTCCTGTACATTACTCCAAAGTGCTAGCTGGGCCATCACAGTCTGTCCCATAAGCATTTTAAAAATCAAATATACTCTTTTTTTCCCCTGCTACTTAACAGTATCTTTTATGAGAGCCTATTTTCCTTTCCCAGTTATATTGTAAGGGTCTTGAGCAAGATCTTTTAAAAAACAGTATGAACAACATCTTTTAGAAATTTTGCTTAAAATAGATGTCTACTGAATGCCATTTGTCATTTGCTCTCTTTGTTGCCTACATTGTAGAAAGAGCAAGAAGCTATAGGTGAGTTTCTCCTTGAGGAATTTTTAGTTAATTAAGGATCAGATTTAAAAATTTTGTTTCTTTACTTTTTTGAGACAGGGTCTCGCTATGTATCCCTGGTTGGCCTGAAACTCCATATGTAGACCAAGCTGGCCTGGAACTCACAGAGATCCTCCTGCCTCTGCCTCCTGAGTGCTCTGGGATTAAAGGTGTGTGCCACCACACTGGGCTATGAACTGTATTTTTATTGCTGCTTAGAACATTTTAAGGTTCCAGAATTGATGCTGAAGAGGTATTTGCACTGGTGAGAGGCTTTTTAGAATAGAAATGAAAGGTCTTAGTGAAAGTAACTTTTTCATTTCTAAATATGACAGCTTCCTCAGATCAGCAGACTCATGACTAATACCCACTTTCAGTTACATTAAATAATAAAGGCAATCACTGATCATTTACAAAGTTATAAAATGTGTTTTAAGTGTTTGTACTCCTAGAGGAGGAAATGAAAGGGAAGATTCCAAGGGATTTAAAACAGGGCTGATCCCAGGAGTTTTATCTGATGTCTTAATTAATCCACAAAGACCAATTTAAGCTCCTTTCTTATTTTACTCATTTTCTAGACTGAGATTTAAATGGGTAATGGAATTTTGATAGGATTGTGGCTGATACAGCAAATATTGTAGACTTACACCTATTTTACTAACTCTTAAATCAAGCAACAAAAATTTCTACACCTACAAGAAACTATATAAGAACTTCTTAAATTTGGGATAGAAAATTTTCCTAAATGAACACTTTACCAACATTGCTCAGTGTTACAAGGAAGATAAACTTACCTAGATAATGAGATGAGTATATTATCATTAGCAAGGCTTTATATATCATTTAATAATAAACAGACACTGATACTGAGTTTTTTGGAGCTAGGTGAGAATAAATCATAGAAAAAAGGAGTAGAAAGCCTTGGAGTCTTATTCAGAGTGCCATAAAACAAGCATATGGCTAAGTCAAAATTTTCTGTTTTGAATCTTTAGTTCCCTTGAATCTTTAGTTCCTAAGCCTATTACAGAAACTGTCAAAAGTTTAGGTGGTTTTGTAATTTTATTTAAGAGACTTAATTTTTTGTTAGTCACTGAGTAGAATTTTAATTACAATTTTTCTGTTTTAAAATATGTTCAAAGCTATTTTGAACAATATTTTGACTACAATCTTGGAGTACAGCTCATAGTAGGTGATTAGTAAGTACTTGAAGGAATAGGTAATGAAATTACCTCTGACTGAGCATTAATTTAAAATATGAAACAGTGTGATAATATCCATGTAGAGTAATGGCTCATTTATTCAAAATTTAGTCAAACCTAACTGCAGACTAAAAGATCCAGAAAACAAGCAGAAAAGACTCTGATCAGGCTGGCAAGATGGCTCAGCAGATAAAAGCGCTTGCACAGTATGACACAAGCCTGATGACCTGAGTTCAACCCCCACAGTCCACATAAAGGTGGAAGAAGAAAACTGACTCCACAGAGTTATCCTCTGACCTTCACATGCATGCTGTGGCATGTATCCGACAAATTCACAACCATATACATACAATAATAAAGACTGAGCAACCAGAATAAATTAGGACATCATCTCATAACCTGTGAAGTGGAATTGGAGGCAGCAGGCTGTTCACCCTAGAAGTAGAAGTTGTCGATGGCCAGTGTACCACAAGCGAGGACTGGGAAGAAAAATTCTACCAGGCTAACAAGTTTTTTAAAGGCACACTAGGGGATATTTATCTTAGGGGCTTGAGTGTTGTGTAACACAGTAATTATTAGTCAAAATAATGCCTTATAGATCCTGTTTTTCCAAGTTGAAAGATTTGTACTGTTAAAAGAAAAAGATTTGTGCCAGTTTATGTGTTAGTGACTAAATGGTCAAGCTTATCTGGAGCACTCATCTGTGTGGAACACTGGTTCTTCTAAGGCGGAGGCACTGACTTTTTGTTGTCAACTAGTCATACACAACCTTTTCAGATGACTGATGGCAAGATTCTTAAATTACTTGAAAAATGAGGTTAATAAATGAAGTCTGTCCTTTGCCATTTTGGATGCCTGTTGTTGAGTAATTAGTCTTTCAGAACAAAGCTCATATTTGAAAATAAGTGAAGGCAGAAATTGTCTCATGTTCACCAATGGTATTTTGCATGGATAGGGCTCAATAAATGTGAAAGTTGGGTTAATATATTGGTGGGGATACCAGAGAACTGCACTTGGGAGATTCTGTTAGTCAGATTTGGAGGCACCAGAAACAAGTTTTATTTGGGTTAGAAATTTGAGGTTTAATTTTTAAAATAGTATTAAGTAGTTTCATTGAACAAAGTATTAAGATATAACATGTAAACATAAGCTTTTTTTTTTTTAATTTAATACAGGTTCTTACTGTAGTCTCAACTGGTCTGGAGCGTAAATGTAGTTCAGGCTGGCTGCAACCTTGAGCTTTCTGCCTCTGTTTCTTGAGTGCTAGTATTAATACCATAAGCCAAATCTGATGTCTCATTTAGGACCCATGTCTTTTTCTACCCACTCTGGTTTTGGTTTTTTGAGACAAGGTCTCATGTAGCCAGACTGGCCTTGAACTTGCTGTATAGCTGAGGATTTTGAACTTCTGATCATCCTACTTTTACCTTCTAAGTTCTGGGATTGCAGTTAAAAAGATACTGTTTCATGCAACAACAACAAAACCCTCTTGCAAATATGGAACACCTATAAGACTCTCATTAGGGTTAGAAAATTAAAGAATTCATAATTTAAAAAAATTCTCCATGAACTGGAGAGATGGCTTAGCAGTTAAGCATATTGACTACTCTTGCAGAGGACTTGGGTTTGATTCCCAGCACCCACATGGAAGCTAACAACTGTAACCGACCTTAACTCCAGCTCCAGGGCATTGCACAACATGGGTACACTTACACACATGTAGGCAATACCCTCATACACAAAAAGTAAAAAATAATAAATAAAAAAAATATATATTTAAATCGCCTATAACCTTAACAGCCCTAACAGAGTTTTCCTTATGTGTTTTACCTTCCTTACACATTTGTGATGGGGAGAAGGTAGGCCCATCTGTGATAAAATTATCATGTGGAGTTATCAAAATGTGATAACTATAAGGAAGGTACACCTAAGTTCCTGGGATCAACTGGGGGTACCCTCGTATAGTTGATGTTTAGGTCAGAGACTGAAAATTAAGAAGTTTCTAGACACATTGGTAAGTATAGGGGAAGGGGGGAGAGGATAGACTGTGATAGATCAGTGCTGTCTAGTAAACCTCAAAATAATGGACATGATTCTCCTAACTGTATGTAGGGAGTGGTCACTTGAAATGTGGTTGGCGTGCCTAAGGACGTAAATTTTTAGTGAGTTTCAATGAAATAACTAGTGTAGGTAGTGACTGAGCAGACAGCAGAACAAATGTATAGATCATTGCTTGTTGATCATTAGCAGGATGTCAAGTTGATCTATCAGCACACATTATCCAAATGTCAAACATTTGTTTCCAGGTTTTTGTTGTTATACACAGAACTTTATTTAATAGGTGCCTTCATGCATGCTTAATAAAGTTTTTGGAATCACTAGCTTGGGCCAAAGGGTAAGAACATTGTTTTGTCTTTCTCAACAGGCTCTATCTTTTCATAATACCAAGATAAATAATTGTACACCTCCACCTCTGCTTATATGTTATCAGACGTTATAAACATTTGCTCCTGCACCTGTGTTTGTTTTGATTACAGTAAGCAAGAGTGT